AGGCTATAGGCACATTATTGTTAACTACATTAATTCTCAATCTCTGATTCTTCCACGGCACGTATTTGCAAGGATATTGTATATCACTAATTACAAATCTAATTGCCTAAGGGAAAATTAGATTGCTAAAAGCCTAACTTGGAAGTGAGACCGTACAGCCAAATGACTTAATATTCTTCCCGAGAATTTCAAACAAAAACACAAGAAATTAAACAACCACAACCAGGACAATTCAATCCAACTGAGAAATGGACTTTTCTTGTACAGCTTAAGTAGTTTTAAGATGTGACCAGCACATGTAGGAGCAAAACCTGCATTGCTTGTAAATGTAGTTTCAGGAACCATTTTAGAATATAGATTTTTTTTTTTTTTGAAAAAAAAAAAGAAACTAGAAGCTAATTCCATAAGCAAGCTCAGATTAACAAGTATCTGCTATTTTTCATTGTACTCGAAACTTGGAACACAACATATAGCATCAAGCAAACAGTAGCTTCCCTCTTTCCGCATCTTAAATCTTATGCCTCGTCTCTACTATTCAAAAAAGAAAGAGAGTAAATGGTCTTAGAGATATGTAAATTAGCCACAACCCACAAGTGCTACTGCTTATAGCACCTTAATTGTGCGTTACATTCGGCGTTTTATTAAGAAGCATAGTCTCCTAATTTGCTTTTTAAGCAATAAAGAACTGGTAAAACTCGTATTGCAAAGTGCAAGCTGCACTGACGAATCGACCTCCCCTGGGAGTAAAATCAGGGATCCGTTCCAACATCCCAGCAATGCAACTCTTGCAATCAGCTGGAGAAAGGTCCAAGGCACACTGAACCAGTCCATAGATTGTATTCCCTGATTCATCTGCAAGCTTAACGTCTCCTGTAGCAAAGAACGTTTTGGTTGCAATAGCCTTGTCTGTTAGATTGTTCACAAACTTGGTTATAGTTTCTACTGGTGCGGAGATGCTTATATTCCGACCTCTAGAAATGTAGTACGTGTCAACTATGTATTTGTGGAAGATATCTCTGTGCGAGTAAATCAGCGAACAAATTTCAGAGAGACCAACCGCGCCTTTCTTTAATGGACACTTTTCGAGAATCCTTGCAATTACAGCCCCAACACAGGCTTTGCATTCTGTTCTTGAAATATCACCACGACAGAAAGATCGGCCGTATACCCCGCGACCAGTTTTCGGCTCGCCCACGAATTCAAGAGCGAACCCTGTATCAGGAGTTTTATTCTGAAGATCATTCAAGAGAATGCTCAAGTTCTTGTGGTATTTACTCCTGGCAGGAAAGTGGTTAGAATTTCTGCAGTCAGCTCCAATACGCTTGAGAGGATCGTCTCCAGCCCCCATTTGCACGAAAAGGGCAACGGACAGAATTACAAAGATGGAAATGGTTAATTGTGAGATTGCCATCGCTAGCTGGAAGATGGATTGGAGATTGGAGGAAGTTGTGTTCATTTTAAATCTCATTTGCTGCAGTTATATAGTACTCTACTCCTCCTCAACATCATTTTTTTTTTGTTCCAAAGTGTTATCCAATTAACATAATTCACATATTTTTTAGTCTTATTGCAGCATTTGTATAGAGCTCAAATAAGTTAAATAATCATCCTTTGGAATACTTTCTCTTTCAATGTTACTCACTTTAGTATTAGGTTCTTGGCTTTTCCTTTCAGCAGGTTGCAAATGTACGCATTACACATATTTCGGTCCAGAAAAGTATTTGGACAGAAGCCTGAGATTGTCGCCGGCTTTGTATTGCCTTCGTTAGAGCTTCATAATTAGAGCTCAGTTGATACTCATTAATGGTTGTCCTGGAGTGGATTAACCGAACGAGCCTGCTTGGCAATTATAACGAGCATTGTGGAGCTCCTCTTCTTCTTCTTCTTTTTTTTTTTTTTTTTTTTTGGTTGATATAAAAAATGTAGCATGCACAACCGGAGGGTATCCCTCAATCAATACAAGAAAAGAGCGACAGAATAAACCAATTGACACACTACCACATAAACTGACTATAACAAATTATCCGGATAGCCATTGAACCTTTTAAATAATATAATTTTGGCCACTCAATTTTCAAGAGTGTATATTTACCAACTAACTATTAAAAGTATAAATTTTAAACCATTTTGTCTGTTTTTCAATGTTAAGTCTGCCATATTTGATTATGTCTGGTGACACGTCCGGTCTTTAGATATGATAGATTTAAAAGGTGAAAATAGACAAAATAGTCTAAAATTTATATATTTGATAGTTTAGTAGGTAAGTAAATACAAACTTTTAAAAATTAAATGGCTAAAACTTTGCTATTAAAAAAGTTCAGTGATTATTCAGATAATTTGCTCCACTGACTATCCATGCTCAAATAATCAGTGCTATTGTGCACTGGTTGTATTTAGTTATCGAGCCTTTGCTTGATTTTGTAAAGATTATTTCATGATATAAAATCACTTATCGGAAAAAAAAAAAAAAGACTATCCATGCTCAAAAAATAGACTGTGAATAGTGAAATAAGCTGAGCAGAATCCAAAACTAAGTCACAAGGGCATGATTGAAATCAGTCTAGGATAAGTATGTAACACTGATATCCCTGGGATCTCTTCCTCACAAATTAGAAATTTAATTGTCCAAGGGGAAATGTTTTGTCTAGATGAGGTAGCTTCAGAGAAATTATTACTGCAAAATTCTCAAATTTAAAATGTTTACTCATGATCGTTTCATTTATGTGGAACTTTAGTCTTTCAAACGGCTTTAAGTGACAGCCCCAGGGTGTTGGCTCGGATGATCGTAGGCTAGTAGTTACGAACCTAATGATCGTGAGTTTGAGTCCCCTTCTACCAGTTGTGTATCCTTGGGCCGAGGTGCATGCCCGCTGGAGGATTAGTCTAGCGTAAACTGGGATACCCCTGTATTAATAAAAAAAAAAAAAATTGGCATTAAGTGACAATTACTAGAACTCGCCTCTGCAAGTAATCTTTTGTTTTGGGACACTAAGAAGGGGGAAAAATCGATTTAGTTAATCTCAAGAAAATTAGCATGTCAAAATAAGCTGATATACAAATGTCAGTAATTATCTCAATCATTATGTCTACTTAAATCCTGAATTTATACCCTCTTCAAGCAAAAAACATAAGTTTTCCTAACAGATTAACAATCTCATCTTACTCAGCTCAGGTGAAAACTCGAAAACTTGGTTGCTTTACTTTCCTTTTGAATGTTCTCGTCTTCTAAACTGATCAATCTAGACAATTTTTTCGTTTCCTTTTCTATCTAACCTTTTCTCTCCACAATTTACTATGTGTCTCTTGTAGCTTGAACTAGGATCTGTGGTGGTCTAAGCCCACTGCAATCATTTGCTTCTCTAGAAAACGTGGGTTTGACTAGTCTTTCAATTATTCGTAGATTTTGATTTAGCAAATAACATCGTAAACTCATGCTTGCCATATACTCCGTACATGCCATTATTAATCTCCCAAACAAGATTCCTTAATTAAAGGTGAAAGCAAAATAATGTTATAAGTGGCATACCTGTTTTTTTTTTTTTCATAGAGTAACTTATTGAGGATAATATATGTAATAATTTACTTCTAATCAGTCTGTTTTGGTGGATTGTATTCCTTGTTTACCAAAAACCAATTCATTTATAGTTGAAACGTATAGCATAATGTTTAGAATTTTTTTGTAAAAATTTACTACATTACCACAAAATTTAGGTGACGCAGCATTAGAAAGCTTCGCAAATTTTCATGGATTGGATTGGAGGGAGGATTGGATTGGATTAGGTGGTTTCCAGAAAGAGAATGTAAGTGAGAGACTCCAACTTGAACCTTCCTACTTACACTGAAAAAAAAAAAGGCTTAATGCTATAATAAAGTAGAATATCAACCATCTTATTATTAGATGGAGCCCTTACAGCCAATAATAATTCATATTTTTACATCAAAGGAACCATAAGGGGGAACAATTTAATACAACTGAAAAACAGATTTTTTGGTAAATGGTGTTTCGCTAAAATTGACCAACGCGTGTAGGAGCATAACTTGCATCCCTTGTTGGTGTTAAGGAAACAAAAATATAAACAAGTGAATGTGATTTTGCAAATTTCACTAAAATTTTTTGAGTTCCCACATCATCAAGGATGGAACTAATGGGCATTGGGTAGGGAAATCGCCTGTACAAGTCTTAAAAATTTATGTTTTTTATTTTTAAAAACTAAAAAAATTTCAAATTTTCCATAAGTTTTAGAAACTTTCATGATTAAAGCTTAAAAAAACTAGAAGTAGCTCCTCCAAAGTAAAATTTTTGGTTCTGTCGCGGCAGATTCATCCTAGTTTCAAGACTCACTTAATGTAATGCCAGCATCTGTTTTGGAAATAATTAGAAGCTAATTTCATAATGCAACTCTGATTACCAATTAATTACCTGACATAATATTTCGTTGAACTTGAAAGTTGAAACATAGCATATAGCATGAAGCAAATAGTACATGGTTTTGGAGACGTAATTTTAGTCCACTTGAGTCGGTCGCTTTTAACAACACCTAAAGCAGTGTTTGATTTGGACCTTTCATGTTGGCACACTAAATCAAGACTAAAAATTAAAACTTTCCATATTATTATTTAGTAGTGTTTTAGTCAAGTTAGGGTTTTAGTAATTCTGTTGGAGTCAAGTTATGATAGTTTTATTATTTAAAATTAGTATCTGATTAGTAAATTTTTATGGTTATAAGACTTGTTTATCAAGTTTTCTAGTTTATAAATAGAGAGTCATATTATTGTGTTTAGTTGAGAAGAGTAAAGGATTGTCAACGAGTGAAAGCTTTGTTCTTATGATGTGATTAATAGATTATTATTAATATTATTTCTTTTCTCCAACACATATTTTTATGTGTATAAATTATCTCTCCATATGCATTAATTTTATGAAATGTATCTCCCATATATTTTTGTTAGAATTTTTGGATTCTACATTTCATTTGTTTAGAGAAGCATTACCTCTTGCTTTAAGCGTTGAAGAACCTATAGAACTCGTACTGCAAGGTGCAAGTAGCACTGAGGAATTGCCCTCCTTTCCCAGTATAGTCAGGAATCCGGGCCATCAACTCACCCATGCAAGTCTTGCAATCAGCTGGAGAAATATCCGAGGCACACTGAACCAGTCCATAGAGTGTACTTTCTGATTTTGCAAGCTTAACTTCTCCTTTAGCAAAGTAAGTTTTGGTTGCAATAGCCTCCACTGTCAGATGATCCAGAAACTCAGTTATAGTTTCTACTGATGCCGGGCTGGTTACATTTTGAGTTCTGTAAATGTAGTAGCTAGGTGGTGTCGCCGATTTTGTGGAGAATATTTTTGTGCGTGTAAATCAGAACGCAACATTCATACAGGGCAACTGCGCGCTTCTTTAATGGACATTTTTCGAAAATCCATGCAATTGCAGCGCCAATGCAGGCTCTGCAATCTACACTCGAAATATCACGTCGACAGAATGCTCGGCCGTATACCCCGTGGCCACTGTTTTGGAGTGCCCACGTATTCAAGAGCGAACCCTGTTTCAGGGGTTCTACTCCGAAGACGACTCAAGAGAATGTTCAAGTTCTTGCGGTATCTACTCCCAGCGCCGGCGGGGAAGTAGTTTTGATTTTCTGCAATCAATTCCAAGACGCTGGAGAGGGTCATCTCCAGCGCCCATTTGCACAAAAAGGACGACCGACAGAAAATATATGGAAATGGTTAATTTTGAGAGCGCCATTGCGGGCTGGAAAATGGATTGGATTGGAGATTAATCAGAGCAAGTCGTGTTCTTCTTAAAATCATTTTTGCTGCAGTTATGTAGGATACTGCTCAACCTCTGGAATAATTTTAATTATCTTAATATCCGTCAAATTATTTAACTTGTCTTATCCAATAAAATAATTAATTTGCTAGCCTAATGGATTGATTTATTCATGTGTTTTGTTCCTTTTGCTTGTTCGTCGCACGCCATGTAATTTCTCTGTGATAGTTTCCTTGTTGGAGCTTGGCAGATGCTCATTAATGGTTGTCCCTGATGGAACCAGCCGATCAAACTCTCTACACTATAGAAACAATTATTGTGCTGCTTAAAATTAATTGGCCTTTGATGTGAACTCTAATATGTTTTTTAATCTGAATTTCTATGTGCATTATGATAGCTAAGCCTGCCTATCAAATAAATTGATGGGTTGGTAGTTCTGATGGATTGGTTAGTACGAGCCTTCAACAATTACGGGTAATATTTTGAGGGGTTCATAATAAAACCAATCTTATACTATAAGGCAAAATTTGAGATATGTACCATTCTTCTACATAATTAGCGTAGAAAATATGTATATAAAGAAAAATTAATTTTATATATACTGTCAATATGTAATTCTTAGGACATAGGTTAGGCAATGACGATTGGGCCTAAACTTTTGACCCATAATGTTTAAACCAAGCTATCAATAACGTGTGCTAACCCAATATTTTGGCATAAACTACAAATCCAAAATGTTTAAATTAGGATGGGTTGGACCTAGGGGTGTCAACAGGTTGGGTTTGGACCAGAATTGAAAATTTTGGACCCGAGCCCAACCCGTATATCCGACGGGTCTTGATCTTAGAGTTTTAGAATCAGGTCCGACGGATCCGAGTCGAATCCATGTCGGGTCTGGGTCTAAAAGGTTCAAAATTAAATTCAAAATCAATCACAAATCCAATCTCCAAATTTAAACAAATCAAATTACAAAAATAAATCACAAAGAACTTGCAATAGTCAATTCAAAACTAACCACAAATCAATCTATAAAGTCATTACTAAATTGTTAATTTGATAAAAGAATATATTTAGAAATATTTACATTTTATAATTATTAATATATTGTTCGAATCCGGGTCAAATACGGGTCAGAATTCTATATTCCGTATCCGACTCCTTTTTTTTTTGTTAGAGAGATCTGGGTTCGAGTATCGAAATTATTTTTCAATTCAAACTCAAAAAAAATTTATCGGGTCCAGATCCAAATCCGACCCATTGACACCCCTAGTTGAACGAATAACTTTTGATGTCATTAACCCCAAAGTGTTAGTGTGGGATAGCCCAATAGCTTTTAAGCCTAAACTACTCGAGTCGCGACCTAATAGCCTATGTGTGTGCAATAAAAAAAAATACATAATATTTATAGTGAATGAATTTTACATACATTTGTTCATTGTTAAATAAAATTTTAATCTTGTAAATTATTTTGACAAAATTATTGTGATGTTGGTAGTTATTGCTTAGGCTAGTTACATTGAAAAAAAATACATGTTTAAATGATAAATTAAATAATGCTTATAGTAGTAGTTATCTTGACACCATGTGTTTGAATAATTAAAGTAAAATTAGCTTTTATAAGGGCAAAAATGTAAGTACGTAAAGTGACATAAAACATTAGCACCAAACTCTGTCATTTCTCATTATATCCTTATACTATATAAGAATGAGTTTAGGGCTTGAATTTCAACCGCAAGGGTGGGGCTTTTTTGAAAATGTGAGAGTGTTTGAAGTGCAATTAGAGTATTGAATATGAGTCATTATAACTAATTTAGTTTTGTTGTAATTACTTGGATGTCCTTTTAAACATTTAAAACTAGGAGTAAGTTTGATATGTGACATTGTTTGATATCCGATTAAACATTGGGTACAACTGAATTCAGCTTGTGTTTTAGTGAAATTACATAAAAGCCCTTCTAATCATTTAATTGTATTAACATCTAAGTCTTTTAATTTCTTAAAGTCTTTCTCATCAGTTATTTTGCAAAATTATGATATATAGACGTTAAGACACAATTAATGTCAATTAGTAGAGAAGTTTGGTTTCTTGGCCATTATCATAGATGTTAATTCAGATGTTGTTACATTAGCTACTCTTCTTCCCTATTTTGCAACACCCTTTTCAATAGATATGTTTTCTTTAATCAATTTACTTTTTGGTTGTAAAAAATCTATAATATTGCAAGTTGTATGTGCAATAATTTTTTAGTATTTTAATTCAATTGTCCATATTAGACAAGTTTGATAAAGAAGAGACCACATTTGTTAATTGTTATTTATGGTTTAAAATAAGTTTATCATCATAAATTTTTCCATTTATAGATTACATCTACTTCTTTTGTTGTTTTAACTATTAATTAGGATAATTTTTAAATCGTTTGCTACTTTATTGACTATGCCATTTAGACAATTTTTCACTTCATCTGATTTACCAATATGTTTAACTATCTACATAAAGTTATTTGGCTACAAATCTAAAGCATGTACCTCATTACATGACAGGTGCCGAACCTGTGCAATAATAAATACCTGCTCAAATAAAATATAATTTCTGTAGATAGTGATAAGCAGGGTCGAATCCACAGGGACTGGGGATAATTCATTTCTTCTAGAGTCCAACGTATGGGGGGTTTTGGATTAAATGCTAACTAAATAAATTAATTGCAGAAAATAATTAATTCAAAGAAATAATTAAGGGAAAACTCTAGCCAAGGGTATACTTCAGAAATGGTTCATGCACTGATCATTGATGCAAAAATAATCCCAACATTTATTAATAGATCAGTTATAGTTGTCATACACGCGATAAACAACCAACCCTTCCTTAATTTATCGATAGTCAAGGTACGACCGTTAACTATTTCCCTAACCCAAAAACAATCCTAAGTACGACCGTAGGATTTAATTTCTAGATTGCATTAATAATTAGAAAGGCCCAATCCTAACTAACAAACACGCTACGAGGGTTTGTTTAAATTAGATCGTATGTTCCCCTGACATAAACCCAATTACGCCAGTTGCTACTGAGATAAAGATAACGAACAATTACGGATTCAATTATCCCTATTTAGCAAAATAGCCTATGTGAATAATTAAATATTGCGCATCTATTCAATCACTCACACGAGCTATAACGGTTAAAAGCAGGAAATATATGAATACCAATAAATGGAGGAAGCAATTAAAATAAATTAGATCTCACAGAAATTGTTGAACCAAATCTCCAGTTGTCCCCTTGACTAGCAGTAGGAGGTTAGTTCTCCATTAATGGAGAACAACCATGCGAAAAACCAATCTGAAGCTTACAAAATTCTCCCTGGCCAAATCGGCCAAGGAAGGAAAAATAAAAAGTCGGCTCAGCAGTCCCCCCCAATAAAAAGATAGGAATTATCCTCTTAAAAGAAGACGTCTGACCCCTAGAAAAAGGAAACTCCAGCTAGTCTAATTCATACGTGATTCTGGCTTTGTTCCTATTGGCCGCTGAAAAGAAAAGTAAGCTTCCAAGTCCTTGACGTTTTGTAGGATTAGAGTTTTTATCCTCTACACCTCTGCGGCCCACGAGTCTTGTGATTTCCTGATTTAAAGTCAGCTATTCCACTCATTCTAGGAAGCTTTCCACGTGCACATAATCCCGAAAGTCCGGCCAAGAAGGCTGGAGTTAGGCGTGGGCACACCTACTCATCAAGAAGTTCTCTGAAATTTGATTTTAAGCACTTTTCATTCTTTCTCCTGAAATAAGCACAAAATACCAAATATAAGTAGAATCCGACGATTAAAATAATATTTGGCTAAAATCAGGGGGAGAATAATTATAAATTTAACAACAAATTATGACCTATCAATTTCCCCCACACCTAAACCATGCTTGTCCTCAAGCATAAGAACATAAATCAAATAATCAAATTCAAACAATGGTATTACTCAAATCTTCTATTGCCAAGATATAATTAAAATACATGTCAAGTATTAGTGGCAATTTGCAAGAAATATCTCTCCAATTAGCTTTCAAGATCAATGACTTTCAATTTATGACTAACTAATCTAAGAATATAAAATATTCAACCAGCATCCATAAGCAAATGGTTCAACTATTAAGCAAAATCTCAACATTAAAATTCATAGATCAGCGGGTTAACAATTCATTCAAAATTTTCACTATTAGCACCCTTTTTTTTTTTTTAGGAGGAATGCTTGGTCTTTAGCCATTTAAACGTTTTGACGCGAATTCCGACATTGGCCAAATGAAGGAGCCCGGTTACTCCGCCATCATCGCTAAAGGACCACATACTCATAGTTATCGTCACTTTTTGACGCGAAAATCAACACTTGTGATGAAAACTCCCGGTTACTAGGCAACGATACTAGCGGAGTATAGCTCAATACTATTCATAAATAAGCACCAAAAATAAAATTAAATACCATATAAACCCGCTTTATTTCTTAAACATGGAGAACTAAGATTAATAGCTGAACCAATTTGCACAAAAACAAAAAAAAAATGCTAGACAAATATTTACAATACTTAGAAAAGTTAACCAAAAAGTGCAAAAGTCACAAAATCTCAAATATTCACCCAAGAGATACCCTTAAAATCAACCATGTTATACTCAATACCTTAAAGTGTAAAATCTTAGCAATAGAAAATTTGAGACATCTAACCATCGTTTATCAAGAATAATCACGAATAAACACAAAGATAGGCAAAAATTGGACAAAATTCGACAAAGTCAAACAAAAAATTCCAACAAAAATGCCCACACTTGCACTTTTTCAATAAAATGCCAATATACTACCCCCCCACACCTAAATCACACATTGCCCTCAATGTGACAAATAAACAGTAATAGCAAGGCGAAGGGCAACGGGACTTCCCTGAATACGTGGTGGAAGGTCTCGGGCGGCTATGGAATAGGTGGGAACGGTGGAGTGAAAATGGTGCTACGGTAGTGCGCGGCAGTGAAAGATTGTAGAAGGAAGGAGAGCTCCGACGTGCGTCTTGATCCAGGCGAACTAGAGTGCAACAGAGAACAGCAAACCAGCAAATACTCACTGGTGGCCCCAATTGGGTCAAATGCAGGAACAATGTAGTCCAAAATCGCAACAAATGCTCTAAAGATTTAGCAATTGAAATCAAAAGGTAAAATACTCCCAGCAAGTCAATTAGACGCCACCAACAGCAATAAGCAATGGAAGTGGCACAGTAGCCTTCCAATTCAACAAACAAATGAAGAAAATACCCAACCAAAGGCACTTCAAGGGACGCAAGACAGAAATCAACAAAGTAGAACTCAAGTGATACCAAAAATAACCTCAACAAAGCAGTGAATTCGACCAATTTGAATACGTAGAATACGGTCAGAAATGCCTCCCAAAGATCAACAGAGAGCGACAAAACTTGCCCACCCAAAATCTGTCCAAATGGCTCCAATTGGACAAGAAATTACACAACTCAACCAACCGAAATTAGCAAATAAGCCAAGAAACCGTCAAAACCAGAAATAGTAGTTCAAAATTTGGACTACAACTAAAACAAAATGTTTGGCAGTTTTCAATCAAGTAGCCCACTAACTAGAACCAAATATCAACAAATGTAGTTATAATACCCCAACCCGTACCACTGGTGCCCAGACAGGAAAGAATTAAATTCAATGGCAGCAACTCAACCGCAAGAACTTAAACTTTAAAATTAATCAACCAGTACCACTGGTGAGTCACAGGGCAAACGATAAATCAATTGGCCAACAATCGAGCAGCAATTAAACTCAATTCAGTTCTAAATGAACCCAGAAAATGCTCAAATCATCTCCTGCGTTATCCAACAAATTTACTCAATAAAATCGTAATCATCAAGATCCCATCAACATCAAGAAATTGGAATCGGGGACCAGAAAATTAATAAAGAAAAACCTGGCACCAGGGAGGTTGGGATGTTGGCGTGGCTGAGGTGGGGGCGACCCTGAGCTGGTGGAGGGCAACAGGCCCGCGGGCTGGGCTGCGGCGCTGGCAGCGTGCGACAGTGATGGCTGGTAGCGGTGGTTGTGGAGCTCGAGCAGGCGGCGGCGCGGCTCCTCAGCGAAGTGGACCGTGAGGTGGTCTGGTTGTGGGCGAAAGCTGCGCGCGAGGGAGGAAGTAGGAGGTTGACCGCTGGTGGAGATAGCCGACAGCAGCGGCGGAGGAGGACAGCAGACAGAACCGGAGGAAAGCTGGAGTGGCGGTGGTGGTGCGCAGAGCTGGAGTGCGGTGTGCTGGTGGCGCGGCTGTCGCGGAGCTCGGGCAGGCGCTCATCGCCGGCGGCTCTGGTTGAAGGAACAAGAGAAAAGGGGAAAGCAGGGGCAACGGGGAAGAAGGAAGAAAGAAAAGAAAGAAGAAAAGAAGAAAAATAAAATAAAATGGTTTTTTTTTTTTAACTAGTCTTACCGAAATTCTCCAAAAATTGAAATTGCTTTTGTAAAAATTTTATCTCTTTTTTTTTTTTTTTTTTAGAAAAGGAACCTCTGGCCTAGGCGTGCACGTCTAGATTGCTATAGAGCCCTGCAAATCCTGAACGAAAATTCTACTTTCCCTCAAGCGTGACCACCTGGCGTTGAGGCACTTCTAACGCTAACTGCTATAGTCCGCAGATCCTGAACGAACATTTCTTTCGCCTCAGCGTGACCACCTGGCGTGGCACATTCTAACTGCTAATTCCCTGCCACGAAACATCAAACTATAATTGACACCTAACACTTAACTAAAACTTCAAAAAGTGCATGAAAACGAAAGCAATAAGCTGGTTGCTCCCAAGTAGCGCCTTCTTTAATTCTATGGCTAACATTGTCCTTTTATTCATGGAGGAAAAATCGCGTAGCTTCGTTTCAGTGCTCTCATTCTTCTATGATATCCTGCACTAGCCGCACTCGTAAATGAGAAGTATTGCTTGGGCACACGAGCTACCGGTCTATGCCATGGACTAGTAAAGCATCGAAAACAAACAAGTGATGATTTTTAAAATCTTCAACTCTCTCCCATCAAGAGCACTTATTGGTTCCTAGATATTTTGCCATCATGAGATCTTATTTATCCTGGCATGAAAATTCAAACGCTCGTGGTATACATATAATCATATCTCACTAATAGGAATTAAAGAATAAGAGTCAGGAAAGATTATTGATGCAAAGGAATTGAGGATATGTCCACCGCATTGAGATTGTCACTGGATTCATTCACTTGAACTCATTGATGTTCTGGTCTGCAATTCTGTGCTCAACTTTCTTTTCAAACCATCTGTTAGATTCTTCTCTTGAGACCTTTGCAGTACCATGTTCCTTCGTCAGGAATAATTGCACTCTTCAATTCTCAGTGCCGGATAAGTTAGAGGGCAATATTCTTCACGTCATTCGAGAAGCCAATGACTTATCCAAATGTAATTGACCATTTGATCTGCTAGGCTTACGCCTGCTCACTTTGTGTCTCCTGTTGAATTTGATATGTGTTAGTAGCTTTAATTCACATCTCTTCAGAGACCATACCTGACATAGATGATGATTCTTGAGACTCATACTGCTGAAAATTCATTGGCCCTGTTGTATAATCATAACTGGAGTTATCCCACCATCCTTGATCATACCCGTTTGGATTAGGGTTATACCACGTTTGAGACCAGGGTGAAAAATCTCCATAATTATTGAATGGGACACTCAGATTATCTTGATATTCGGGGCACATACCGGTTGAATGATCCCTGGCATAACAAATTTCACAGGTTGCAGCAGCCATTCTTTTTTTAATAGAGTTTATTGCCACTAAATATGCAAACTTAGAAAAACAATCAATCTCATTGCCTTCCCCGAAAACAAAATCCAGTATATCACCAAAATACGGAGTGTTAGAAGCCATAAAATATATAATAAAAAAAATAAGAGAAAAATAAATAAATGAAAATAAAAACAAGATGAATTCAAAAAAGAAACAAATTAATCTGGTACCAGTCCCCGGCAACGGCGCCAAAAATTGACAGGTGCCGAACCTGTGCAATAATAAATACCTGCTCAAATAAAATATAATTTCTGTAGATAGTGATAAGTAGGGTCGAATCCACAGGGATTGGGGATAATTCGTTTCTTCTAGAGTCCAACGTATGGGGGGTTTTGGATTAAATGCTAACTAAATAAATTAATTGCAGAAAATAATTAATTCAAAGAAATAATTAAGGGAAAACTCTAGCCAAGGGTATACTTCAGAAATGGTTCATGCACTGATCATTGATGCAAAAATAATCCCAACATTTATTAATAGATCAGTTATAGTTGTCATACACGCGATAAACAACCAACCCTTCCTTAATTTATCGATAGTCAAGGTACGACCGTTAACTATTTCCCTAACCCAAAAACAATCCTAGGTACGACCGTAGGATTTAATTTCTAGATTGCATTAATAATTAGAAAGGCCCAATGCTAACTAACAAACACGCTACGAGGGTTTGTTTAAATTAGATCGTATGTTCCCCTGACATAAACCCAATTACGCCAGTTGCTACTGAGATAAAGATAACGAACAATTACGGATTCAATTATCCCTATTTAGCAAAATAGCCTATGTGAATAATTAAATATTGCGCATCTATTCAATCATTCACACGAGCTATAACGGTTAAAAGCAGGAAATATATGAATACCAATAAATGGAGGAAGCAATTAAAATAAATTAGATCTCACAGAAATTGTTGAACCAAATCTCCAGTTATCCCCTTGACTAGCAGTAGGAGGTTAGTTCTCCATTAATGGAGAACAACCATGCGAAAAACCAATCTGAAGCTTACAAAATTCTCCCTGGCCAAATCGGCCAAGGAAGGAAAAATAAAAAGTCGGCTCAGCAGTCCCCCCCAATAAAAAGATAGGAATTATCCTCTTAAAAGAAGACGTCTGACCCCTAGAAAAAGGAAACTCCAGCTAGTCTAATTCATACGTGATTCTGGCTTTGTTCCTATTGGCCGCTGAAAAGAAAAGTAAGCTTCCAAGTCCTTGACGTTTTGTAGGATTAGAGTTTTTATCCTCTACACCTCTGCGGCCCACGAGTCTTGTGATTTCCTGATTTAAAGTCAGCTATTCCACTCATTCTAGGAAGCTTTCCACGTGCACATAATCCCGAAAGTCCGGCCAAGAAGGCTGGAGTTAGGCGTGGGCACACCTACTCATCAAGAAGTTCTCTGAAATTTGATTTTAAGCACTTTTCATTCTTTCTCCTGAAATAAGCACAAAATACCAAATATAAGTAGAATCCGACGATTAAAATAATATTTGGCTAAAATCAGGGGGAGAATAATTATAAATTTAACAACAAATTATGACCTATCATTACTTTTAATTATTTTTCTTAAATTGAGTGGATTAAGATGTTTTAGTACTTTTTTTGACGTAATTATTCCTCTAAATTAGCATGTTAGTTGTTGTATATCTTTGTAACTAACACAAAACTGATATTTCGTGATTGTAACCCCTATTGAGAAGGAGATGCTTTGCTATATGTCCTAAATCATACAATAAATTATAATTAATTACTTGCTCAATGTGAAGGTCTCGTGATGATATGTGTCCTTAGAATCAATATAAATTCAAGAATTTGGTTTGCAAGAACTGAAATTCTACTAGTAATGATTTCTTCAAGTATGCTAATTGTTCAAATCTCGCTTATATGATAAGATAATGTGGTGGATTGCCCTCATAGGGAGATCAAATTCAAACTAAATAACAAATTTTAATATTCCTAAAGTGCATGAGCAGATATAAATAGGTCTTTTATTATATTAGGTTAGATGCAAAGTAATTGATCGTATCTTATAATTATGTTTTATTCCATATTATATTTTTTTAACTCAAAATGTAACATGTGATTTTTTTAATTTAATATCACATAATAAAATTATCATACTTCAATTCTTATACTAGAAAATACCAAATAATAATTATTAACTATCTTTAATTATAGGTACTAAACTCTCACGCGTTGCGTGGGCTTTTCCCCCTAGTATAGAATATAGATATTCATTTTGATATCAACTGTACCACTATTAGTTTGTGGGTAACCCAATAATTTTTTGACATAAACTACTAGAGAGGGTGAAGTATTTAAGTCAAATTATTAGTAGCTCACCATCCAAAGTATTACCCATTACCTATACTTTTATTATTATTTGTTTCTAAATGTTGGATGCACGACATGTAGTGTAACAAAAATTAATCCTTGCAGAAAGTAAAAATACAAGATTACAAGTTAGAGAAAAGTATCCTCTCCTCATATTAGCCCATAGCGTTCAAGGGAAATTTTGTGAAGCCAATAGCTTTTTGCATCATATTTAGTTGATACTTAGTTGAATTGTTCAACTGTTTGGATCATATGTTTGCTCGTCAAATAAAGTGAAGTATGTTTTAATCTTAACCTGAAAACAGGTGCATCATGAAACGGGAACCAAATTCTTAGTTAACTAGTCAAGTATGAATGAATAACCAGTTATAGTCCACTGTCCATATGTAGCTCCCGTATGAGTTATTTTACATATCCCATTACGCTTGAAAGTTCAAACATATCCCATGGCATCTGAGAAACATGACTTAGGAGAGTTGGACAAATACTCCTGACTTAGACACACAATATTGCTTCTGACACATTACTTCTCCTTTATTCCCACTTTTCTAATGGAGATGAGGAGAAGAACCGAAAACAGTAGCACTCCACTCGGGTATTGGATTTAACAAGCTTAGAAAAAAGGCAAAAACTCGTAGTGCAAAGTACAAGTAGCACTAAAGAATTGGCCTCCTTTCCCACTGAACCGAGGAACCAAGCACATCAGCGCACTAAAGCAAGTCTTGCAATCAGCCGCGGAAATATCCAAAGCACACTGAACCAACCCGTACAGAGTTTCTGATGATTGTGTGACCTTAACTTCTCCTTTCGAAAACAGCTTTGGAGAAGTGACAGCTTTATCCGACAGATGATTCAAAAACTCGACCACCATTTTTGCTGAAGCAGGGCTGCTTACATTCTGCTCTCTCCAAACGTAGTACCTTCCGCGATCAAGTTTGCTGTATATGTCCTGGTTGCTGTACTTCACAAAACAGCCTTCATACCAAGCACCTGCTACTTTCCTGAAAGTACAGTTTTGGCGAAGCTCCGTGATAGCTGCATCAATACAGGTTTTGCATTCCGTAGCTGAAATGTCTCCTCTACAGAGGGCTCGGCCATATATCCCACTACCAGTTTTTGCTTCCCCAACGTATTCAAAAGCGAACCCTGTTGCAGGAGTTGCTCTCTGAAGATAATTCAGGACAATGTTCAACTCGTTTTGGTATTCACTCCCGGCGGTAAAATTGTTCGATGGCCTGCAATCAACGGCCAGAAGCTCAACAAGGTCGACCGCACCGGCCCTTTCTACAAAAATGGCAATGTAAAGAATGCAGCGGGAAATGGTTAATTTTGACGAAGTCATGGTTGAAAGAAGGATATTAGAAATGAAGGCAATTATTGTGGTCTACCTAGACTTAGTTCAGCGTCTATATAGCAGTTATTTCAGCAATTATTTTTCACATCCAAATATGTTTGGCACGAGGAATTTCTGTGTTTTTCTTATACATATTTCTTTGCTTCTAGGACAATTTGTCGGACAAAATAGTTGGATCAAGTCTGTCGCAGGCGATGTTACTTCTTTGTGCACAGCTTCGTCTCTGATCTTGGAGCTTTGTAGATAGATTCACTAGTGTTCGTCCCGGACGGCCTTGAGCATCTATATCTCTTTGTTTATTGTTTTGGCTAAGTAAGACAAAACAATTCGAGGAAGATAGGCAAAAAAACTAACCCGTCATCCAATCAAGCTTTCTCTAATAATTAGCCTAGCAACAATTATAAACATTTGAGTTCACAGATGGGGGCGTCAATTATTGCCAGGCCCTAACAACTCGACTAAAAATCTCAAAGTTATTTATCACCTGAAGTAGGACTAACTATTTAGGACATACTCCATTATGGGTCCAGATCTTTTGTAGTTGCAGTAGTGGCTGAACAGAACAGTGTGTAGTGCAGACAAAGTGACTTATAATATGATGGTTGGGATTGAATTTGTAGGCACAAATTTTAACGAGTGACAAATTTTGTTGTGTTTGTATATGTCATTGTGTTAGTGTCTGCATTAGTTAGTTTAGTGTTGACATCAAGTCTTGCTTTTCATTTCTCTCTTCTTTTGATAGAGATCAATTTTAGGCGGTTTCCACTCCGATCACCACTAGCGATAGAGATGGGGACATCTCCAGAATTACAAATCTTTGAGAATATTTATAAATTACTCACTAAAGCAGTCCTAACTTACGTAATGGAATTTGAATACATGACTTTTTTTTTTATGAAAGAGTCCTTCAATCTCTTTTTAAGTGTTGCCTTTTTATTTCTTAATAACTTTCATTCATCCAAATAACTAATTAGTAACTCAACTATGTTTACAAAAGTTTTGGAGCAAATTGTAACACTTCTCTGTCTATTTCGTTCACTCCTAAATTATTATCACTGTACAAAAGCACAGGATTTTTTCGGGCAAACATGATATTCAATTAGAGATGGCAATGGACCGGGAATGGGACTAGGAACCCTCCCCTCTTCCCCGCCCCAACCCCTGTCGTTGCACCTAACCCATTGCATTTCTTTTCTTTTCTACTGAACTTCCAACCATGTTTGTTTCTCTCTCTCTTTTTTGTTTTAATACCATTTTCTCTTAGGCATTTTATGAAATAAGTTTTGGACCATTTAGCCAAAAGAAAATATACAAACAAAAAGGACCCAAGATAAGCAAGCTATACTTACTGCTGATCAAAAGCTACATGCGTAAAAATATCACTTAATGTGATAGGCGATTCTCCTCGGAGAAGAATTAGGAAATCTAGGTATTCCTACCAAATTTATATAACTTCAACAAAGTTGAAAATCAAAAGGCAACAAATTGGAATCACAACTCGGACAACCATAACTGATCAACAGCACACATTCTTCTAACACCTGAACGATGTTAAATATCTTCAATTCCAACGTAGAATATTGCAGAAGCTAGCATAGCCACCTTTGCATTTTAAGCATTGAAGAAAGCATACAACAAATATTGTAGGGTGCAAGTTGACGTGTAGATCTGAGTCCCGTTCCCATAAATTTTAGGAACTATACTAACCAATCCATCAACGCAAGTCTTACAATCTGCTGGGGAAAGGTCCAAGGTGCATTGAACCAAACCATATAGATTTTTCGATCCTGCAAGCTTCACCTCTCCTCTGGCAAACAACTCCTTAGACGCGGAAGCTTCTCCTGCAAGTTGATTTAACAATCCCTCCACCTTTTCTAAGGGTGCAATGTTGCTTAGATTTTCTTTTTCCAAGATGAAGAATGCCAGCGAGTTGGGATCATCAATCTTGCCAAAGAAATCATCGTCCGAGTATCTCAAAAGACAACCCTGGAACCAAGCAAATGCGGATTTATAAAATGGACATTTCCCCCGAACCCATCTGACCATTTCAGAAATGCAGGTTTTGCAGTCTGCTGTTGAAACGTCCGCTCTACATTGAGCTCGGCCATAAGCCCTGTTACTGTTTTCCACCCCCCCGGCATATGCAAGACCGAACCCGGTTGCGGGAGTTTTGTTGGAAAGATCGTGTAAGATGAAGTTCAAGTTGTTTTCATACTCGCTGCCGCTAGTAAAGTTCCTGTTATCTGGAAAGCCGCAAACGTGGTCGACGGGCTTAAAGAGGTCGACTCCAGCAGCCATTTCTGCGAAAATGGCGATTGAGAGAATGTAGAGGAAAAGGTTTAATTTTAGAGCCATGTTCTCAAGATTTCAATAGATGCAGGAGATCGATCCTGCTGCAACTTAAATATAGTAGTAGTGCTAGGTCGTATTAGTAATTTAATTAGTAGTGTAGTGTAACTTTTTCTTCCATTTCCTTTGTGGTTGGGATTATATGTGCGTCCGGTACCTTTTTTCAGCACGACAAGTGTGGCATCGAGAGGCCCTATCATGTAAACTTCATCAGTAGAAGTTTCCTGTGACAGCTTCATGTTTGGAGTGGAGCACATGCTGATCACTGGTTGTCTTTGACAGCACAAACCGAATGTGCGTGTCCAAATGTTTTTGTATATATTATCTTTAATTCGGAATTTGTGATGACAATAGTTTACAGTGCAGAAATAGTAAGCATGCATTTGTAGGAAACCTTGTTCATAGAGGTATCGTTCTAATAATGTTTCATCTGATCATCATCTTTATCAAACAATAATATTCCTCAACATTATTTCAAGTGTAAAATAATCAAAAAAGTTTTAAGATTAATGCAGTTTATCTCTACAAATGAACCCCTGAATTGGCACAAGAAACAAGCGGACAAGTTCCTCTTTTGTCTTTAGGAAACCTTGTTCATAGAGGTATCGTTCTAATAATGTTTCATCTGATCATCATCTTTATCAAACAATAATATTCCTCAACATTATTTCAAGTGTAAAATAATCAAAAAAGTTTTAAGATTAATGCAGTTTATCTCTACAAATGAACCCCTGAATTGGCACAAGAAACAAGCGGACAAGTTCCTCTTTTGTCTTTACTCTTTGTCCATTATAGTATGGATTCACCGAAGACCGCCACAATGAATTGCTGGTAAAAGTTTATAGAAATGAAAAAGGGGAGTAAACTTGGTTAATGCAATCGGTAAAACCATGTCAAGCAATTTAACTTGTAGGACTTAAACACGTGTTCTCAGATAGGTAATTTGCTTGAAATCGAGATCCAACGCATCCAAGCCAAACTAAATTCAATCTTTGGCTCGGACATCAGATGTCTTCCAGTTCTATCCACAATATGAATGGACATCTTCCCCAAATCCAGCAGAAAATATGATAACACTTGGCAATTCTCTTATTCAATCCTTACAATAGAACTCCTGCAACAGGGAACGAGTAAACATCTGTGGTAGGAGAGCATGATCTGTACGCCGTTCAGGGAGATGTCTCAAGAGCAGAGTGTAGAAACCTGCATTTTTCACCAGACCGTTACTTACGATTGAGCTTCGAAGTTTGAACCTAGACTTCTAGTCAAGTGGAAGCCCATAAACTTTTCTTGTCAAGTCCATTTTAGTCGATTTATTAAGTACAGCCAATTATCTTTAGTGCTAGATGCATAGCAGCTGATTTTGTGAAGTTTATTTTTCTTGTCTAGTCTTTTCAGTCAAGTGTTTTACTCGATCTTTCAGCTTTCACAAACTTTTGCAGCTATACAGAACTTTTCAGATAAACTACGAGCTAATTAATGCTACTCTTGAAGTGCTGCTGAAGCATGTACAATTCTCCTGAATCCTGTTTCATCGTTTACTATAATTTTATACAGTAACAGGTGGTAAGGAGTGATATCCTATATTTGGTCCTTTTTTTTTAGACTGAAACTGATTGTCTTTCACTGTATGAACCTATCAAGCCTCTTAACGAGTATCAGAAGCTTTTGTTTTGTGCAATTTTGTCTAGATTTGGTGATGATAAGGCTTTGATTTATTTGACCAATTGCAAAATGGAGCTTATAATTGCAACTTTGCTGCAATTGTTCGGATTGTATTTTGATTTATATATGAGATAAAAAGGTGATTGAAAAATGCGTTCATGAAAAACGTAACAATTTTTCTTTGAAAAATTGCTTTCCAAACAATTTGTAGCTTGAATTATACTTTAATTAGTGATCTTCAATTCTTGCTTCCCTTTTAGCAAACCAGTAGATATTCAATAATATATGTATTTTCCCGCATAGCCGATCGAATATTTTGGGACTTCACACAAATTAGAAAAATTTGAAAATATTTATAAAAAAAAAAGGGCAAAAAGAATGTGGGGACTTCGCAGAGAAAATTTTCAAAAAGAGTGTTGGTCCAGTTAGAGACAGCCCATCTAGCATTTCTGGGCTCAGAGAGCACCGATCTGTTATCCATCCACTGCGAAGAGCGGGTGGTCTTCGTTGCTCTGTGAAACCAGCCTCACGCAGTCCCCACCTCTCTAAAGACCACATGATCCAAGCCTTCGCCCAGATCAAATGGCCCAACTCCTAGCTTGGACCGGGCAGACCAGCAAGGAGCAGCCCTAAACCCCACCGTCTGGGCTGTGCTCATGTTCTAACACTCCAATGCCTCCACTTGGGTTACAGGCCTCCTTTACCAGGCCCGGCGATCGACTTGGTGGTTTTGGTGCTTATCAGATGATCAAAAATCATTTCAGTTTCCAGTGTGGGATAATGTGGAGGAGGATTTTGGAGTGCTCATAGTCATAGCCTAAATGAACCTGCAACTTTGTTGTGCACGAAAGTCAGCTGCTACTTATTATTCAAAGTAATCCTAATCTACAACAAATAATACCCATTTTGCTGAGCAACAGAAGAACTTACATAATTTTTGAACTAGGAATCATTTGCCTGCATTAGAAGCACAT